TATTCCCAGTTTACGGTACAGGATCTTCTGGCGCAACCCGGTCGTGAGACCATGAACAAACTCGACCCGGATCGAGCCCCGAGCATCTTTTGGTACGTAATTTTTTTCTTACAATATTTTTAAATTAATTAATTTTAATTCTTATATATTTGATATTAATTTACTTTTTCTCTTTCTATTTGACTAGGTTTACGACCGACAATGCAGTCGGTCGTAACGTTGCGGATATCATCAAGTGGTTTTTCGTACATTCCCATACCAGTTGGAAGAAGCTGGATCAGGCCACACTTGACACTTGGTTCAAGTGTTTTGCGGTAAGTAATTTATCATTTCGTTTAATTTTAATTTTAAATTTTAACTTTTTACAATAATTACTAACTTCTTTTTTTTTCCTTAGAAAAACTGGCATTGGGAAACATCCGCACACGGACGTGTGGAGACGGCCTTCAAGGAGAAGGCCAAATTCCGCCTCAACAACACCGTTTCCGACTGGAAACGGAAGTGGGAGGTTGACAACGACAAGGCCAAGCCGGCGCCTATGGCCAATACCGTCTGGCGGGGCCTTGTCCAGTACTGGTTGGATCCGCACAACCAGACTACGGCCGCCAAGTGTTCCGGATCTAGGTAAGTAGTTAATTCCAATAATATTTACATTATTTTTTTCTTATAATAGATTCTAATGAAAATATTTTTCAGGAACGCTACTGACGATGCGGGAATTCGGAAGAACGTTCCGCACACTTCCGGCCAGATTCCTTTTGTCGGAAGACGGCTTATGATTGTAAGTAAATTAAAATTACTAATTTTTTGTTTTTAAATAATTAACTCTTATTTCTCGATACTAATTAATTTTTTCATTTTGATTTTGTAGGTCGAAGATAACGGAGGAGAACTTCCTCCGATGACGAAGGTTTTCGCCGAGACGCATAAGAAGCGTAAGGGCGAATTCACGGATCCTCGGGCAGAGGAGATCTACAACGCCGCCTGTGCGGCGATCGAGGAGCGACAGACGCAGCTGACTCAGCAGGCGCGTCAAACGTCTCCCGGAGGTAGCTCGGTCCAATCGACCCCGGCGCTGACGGTGGCGGAGATGGACCAGATCCTCGAAGAGGTAAATTTAATTACTATATTTAATTAATGTAACTTTAGTTTTAAATTAAATTTCTAACCATAATGTTTTTAAATATTTGTAGGTTGCCCCAAAGAAAAAGGGGCGGGTATTAGGGATGGAGTCCATCCGTGATACCCCGAGAGCTACGGCGACTGGTCACGTCCGGGTCCCGGATCCGGTTATCCGCCAGGAGATCGATCAGATGCGGACCCGGTACGAGACGAGGATCGACCAGCTCTACGGTCTCTTCGAGATCATGGGAGCCGACAACCCGGTACTCATGGCGCAGTTGGACAAGCTGCGGGCTGATGGGGTTGTCGGATCGTCTGCCGCCGGGTCATCCACTAGGACGCAACCGCTGGTGCAGACGGATGAGGAGATGTTCCGATCTCTCGGGGTTGAGCCTCCTAGAGCCGGAGATCAGGCGCCGGCGGAAGCATCAAACCGAAGACCCGGCAAGGAACACGTCCAGGACGATGGGGAGGAGGCCGGTGACGGGATCGACGATTTAGATTTAGATTTAGATTTAGAGCTGTAGGGTTTTTATGTAAATTACAATTAATTTTAATTTCAAATTTTAATAAATTTTAAATTGTAAATTTTTTTTTTAATTTAAATTTTAATTCGAATTAATTTTTTTTTTAATTTTCAATTATATTAAACGTCGTATAATCGTCGTAATAGCTTTATTAAAACCGTCGTACATTCGTCGTAAATATTACGACTAATTTACGACTAAAATCTATGACTAAAATATATGACGACAAATACGACGATTATACGTCCGAGATTTTTGACGATTTTACGACGAAATGATTAAATACTTTACGATTGATTTACGCGATTTATGCGTCGTACATTTTACGACGATCTTACGTCGACAATTAACGACCACTCAACGACGGTCCAGGCGAAGACCAAGTCGACGCAATTCGATGTAAAATCGTCGTAAACTGTACGACGAATTTACGACGATTTTATTTCCCTCGATGTTACGACGAACGAAACCGTCGTATATTATACGACGATTTTACGACGATTTTTCTATTACGACGATGACTTTACGACGATTTCGAAATCGTCGGTAGTTCGTCATAATGGCCCTATTACGACGAAATAACGACCATTTCGGCCGTTGTGAAATGATGTTTTTCTTGTAGTGGATCTTGAAAATATTTCCACTCTGCAGCATCAGAGGGATGACAAATTTCTCTTTCCTTTGATTGGTGCTCAGCATGCCATCTCATTGCCGCTGCCGTCTTCTTGCTCTGATACATTTTTTTCAATCTGTCGGCAATAGGTAGATACCACATACGACTATATGGTATTCTGGTTCGTGATCGTCGTTCTTCGTTCGGCTTATACCTTGGTGCTTGACAAAATTTGCATTCCTCCCACATTTCATCTTCTTTCCAGAAGATCATACAATTGTTAATACAAACATCAATTTTATGAAATGGGAGACCTAAATTTCCCATCAATTTCTCTGTCTCGTAATGTGAACTTGTTGCCTGATTCCCATCTGGTAGATACTCGGTAAACAAAGAGGCCCATGAATCCACACACTTTTCACTCATATTATAATTTATCTTATTTTGCATGAATCGAGCAGCTAAGGATAACTGCGATTGGCCTTCACGACAACCATCATATAACGGTTTTTTCCCAGCTTCTAACAAGTTGTAAAATTTTTGGGAATGGTTATGTACAGGTTCTTGTACATTCTGATAATTATCATCTTGATAATAATTATTATCTTGCTGATAATTATCACGAAATGCATCATTCACTATATGCATATATCTATCTTCAACGTCATGACCCATTTGATCTTCTTCACTCCCACTTATATGAGTTGTATTACCATGACTAGTTCCATAATCAAGAGTGATTTCTTCTCCATGCTTATACCAAATATAATAATCCGGCATAAATCCTTTACTAAACAGATGATCCCAAATTTTTCTTCCCGGTATAAACTTGTTGTTTTTGCAAACACTACAAGGGCAGTGAAACTTACCGCCATTGCTTTGTGTTAGAGACTGATTGTTTGCAAAGTTCATGAATTACTCTACTCCTGCGACGAACTCAGCCGAGAAGTTTCCTATCTCTTCATCGATCCGCTTATACATCCATTCTCTATAATTAGAGTTTGCAGACATTTTGTTAAAATGTCTTTTTTTGTTCGCTCAACGTTTTTTTCTTTCTTGTTTATGGTTTATGAGAATGAGGAGAAGAATGCGGAGAGGTTGTATATATAGAAATTTTTGCGACTATTGTCCGACTGTTTTGGGACTGATTTCCGACTACAAGAAGTTAGTCGCAAAAATTAGGTACACCAACCACCAAACACAAAACACGTGTTCTATTTTTTGCGCTCGCCGCATAAGTTGCTAATTAATCGCAAAGTCCCGACTATTTTACGACTACGTTATCCTGACTACTATGAAATCACACTTTAATCGTAATTCGGCGACTAATTAATGCCTGATTGATTTAGTCGCTAATATGCGACTGTTTGGCGACTAATTTACTGTTGTCGCAGATTAGTCGCAATTTAGACGCAAATAAGTCACAAAATTTAACGACTACGTTGGTAGTCGCAAATTGTAGTCGGTAAATGGTTGTTTCCGTGTAGTGAGAAGTCGGCGCAAACATGGAGAACCTTTATCGACATCGCATGGACTCATCAGACCCATTGACAAAACAATGAGAATTACCGCCTCAGTACACTTCGAGCCGCAGGAGACAAATGCTTCGACAATGGCCTAATACGCTGGTTCGAAGTAAGGCCTACAACACGAAGATGAAGAATTGTGTGATTTCTGCTTTGTTTCTTTTTAATCATTTTAACACTAAAAAACAGAGGCATTTAATGTAATGGTTTTTATTTTGTGAATAAATTTTACATTCATTCAAAATAAAAAGAATTTTTGAATCTCCATTTCTAGTTCTTTGAGAATTAGAATAGTTTTGAGTTCCCTATGATAGGACGACGTGAAAGTTCATGGGAAAGATGTTTTTTTTTTTTTTGTAACAATCATGGGAAAGATGTTAAAGACAGTGTTACGTGCATGTCTCCTCAGTATCGAATAATTGATAAACTTCAAAATCATTTTCTTTCTTTTTGTTTTGCTAAAATCTCCAAATCATTTTCATTTATTATTCCTATCTTGTACGTTCTTAAGGTACCCAAATGGAATAAGAAGAAAACCTTGGAGAAGAGTTGATGACAGCTCCTTAAAACACAAACACAAACCAATATTCTTCCACGTCAAGTAACATTACGTTGGAGCTGCATTGTCCTTCTCACCTTTTCTTTTCTCCTGTTATTCTAATTTCCTTTCTGTTAGTTTTTTGTAAAGTTAAAATTAAGATTTTACAAAATGCACAAGTACTCCCAAAAATAGGAAGAAATCAACCTGAACTAGCAAAAAAGAAGTCGGAGTTAGAAAAAAAAATGAATTAGCAAGATAAATGACTATTGTTTCCTAAAATATTAACATTTTCTGCCAACTCTTATAATGTTCTTACTGAAGTTTTAATAATATAATTCTAGTTGACAATAAAAAGTAGAACCCATTTACGTCAAGAGGTGTATGTAATTTTTATTCGGCCGCATGTACTTTGTTTAAATATATTGTTTAATACCAAAAATATAATATTTAATTGTATAGTGGAGAATATTGCACAACTAAATGGAACTTCAAAAAACTAAAATGAAATTTAATTGGGATAAGCTCCATATTCTTAAAAAAACAAACCTACGGCTAGAGAAGGATTGCAAAATTGAATCATATTCCATTTACAATTATTTACTTGTTGTAATCAATAAGCTATTTCCGACTAAAATCTATATAAAGCTCCTTCATATCTCTTTCTTCTTTTCATATTAGTCACAAGCAAACAAGTGTAAATCATCTCTATAGTACTACACATTCGAAAGAGCAAGATAATGGGTTCCAATGTTTCATCTGTGCATGATGTTCCTTCATCGATGGAAAGCAAGAATGGTTTTGTTGTGGAAATCGAATCAAGAAGACAATGGAAATCACTCTTTGATTCCATGAAAGTCTCAAATAAGTTGGTATATATTTATAAGCAAAAACGTATTTTTACCGTTAACGTTCCTCTAGACCTAGAAAAAAACTGCATTTCATCCTCAATAAATACTAATCTCCAAATCCAAATTGCTCGTAGTGAATCTTATAAAAATATTGTTCATATCAGTGTTTAATCTTGTTATAATGTTATTGAAATGGTTTTGTTTCTGATCTTACTTTGGTGGTTTTGAAGCTAGTGATTGACTTCACAGCTGCATGGTGTGGACCTTGTAAGGCTATGGAACCTAGAGTTAAGGAGATCGTTTCAAGGTACCCGGAAGCTGTTTTTGCAAGGGTTGATGTGGATAGACTCATGGTAAGTTATCTCATTCTCTTACTTGAGGAATAATATTTTTAACGGCTTCTTGTAACCGAAACTACGAATTTTAAGTCTCAAGACTAAGCTATTTCGTATGTACTGCAGGATGTGGCTGGGACATATAGAGCAAATACACTTCCAGCTTTTGTGTTTTTGAAGAGAGGAGAAGAGATTGATAGGGTTGTTGGAGCCAAACCTGACGAACTTATGTACAAAATTGATAAACATAGGGTTTAAGATTTTACATTTCCTTTGAAGAACAAAATATTATACTGTTTTGAGTGTTTGTGTGTCTGTTTCATTGTCTGAAGTTGAGGTTCTGGTTTGCTATTTACTCAAATGCTTATGAATAAAAATGTAGAAAAACTGATTCGCCACTCATGAGGCATAATTTAACGATTTAGTTACGTTTTTATTAAAATCATTAAATCGTTAAAACGTAACTAAAATGTAACGTAACACAATTAACAAAATCTTCTTAGCAACAGAATATAGCTCTCTTAAGTTATATTCACGTATTCACACCAAGGTGAAAGAACTATAACAATGCTTATGTGAAAATGATAACTAAAAAAAAGTATACATACCATAAAAGAGTTCAAGTTCGAAGTATATGTGAATATAAATGGCAAAACCAACACTTACAGAACATTTTCGGATGGCTTGTTAAAAACATAATAGTCCAAAATTAACGGAATAAGAGTCCGAATATATTCGATGACATCGAACAGAGCATTTCTGTCCAAAAATTATCCATCAACAGATGACATCTGGACCGAAAAAGACCCGATGCGTCTCATCTTGAGCTCTTTATTCGTAAGCTTTTGTACCATATTGTATATGTACACTGAATATACTCTCTGAGTTCAAGAACTTAAGCTTGAAACTAGTTGTCAATTCCACATCCACCAAGAACTCTCTTAAGATCTGTCTTCTGTTCCGGCGTCAACCTCGAAGGGAAACAAATCTCAAAGTTGATCCTAAGATCTCCTCTCTTGGAAACTTCTTTAGAAATTGGCATTCCTTCGTTAGGAATCACAATCTCCCGACCCGGTTTAACGATATCCAAAACCGGTATAGTCAGGTTCCTCCCGTCTAATGTTGTTAAGCTAAGAGTGAGCCCTGTTAGAGCCTCCAAGAGCGAGACTTTCTTCTCTACGATCAGATCATTCCCGTCTCTTTTGTAGACCGAATGTGGTTTCTCGTCGATGACAAAGATGAGATCTGCAGGAGTCACGCCTGGTTCTTGGTTTCCTTTCTCTGGGAATGTTATCTTTGTTCCTTTTTTCCATCCTGGTGTTATGTCTATCTTCAAGATCTCCTCGACTGGCTTTGGCTTTCTGCAATCAAAGGTATTATTAGAGACGACAAAATCATAATCCAAAGCAACTAAGCTATGCAACATTAAACGTAGCAACAAGAAATGTACAAGAAATATCATCTAAAAAAATCAATCTTGATTCCCAGTTTCATTCTCAAGGTCTATAACAGAGAAGACATAAGCTCTACACAAAACAGAGCAGCAAGAGGCTTAGATGGAAGATCATCCATTGGATCACAATCAACATCTAAAGCAACTAAGCTATGCAAAATCAAACGTAGCAACAAGAAACGTACAAGAAAGAATATCTCTCCAAAATCAATCTTGATTCCCAATTTCATTTTCAAGGTCAGTCACAGAGAAGCCATAATCTATACACTAAACAGAGCAGCAAGAGACTTATATGGAAGATCATCCATCGGATCACACAAGAAAACGCAAGATTGACCAGACTGCGACTAAATCGGTTTAGTGATTATTTGTAGTTCGTTTTGCAGTCCCTGCGATCGCGGCAGATATCAGCGATTTGATGCTGAACCAAAATTTTAAAACGCGACTGAAATTTTTAACCGCCAATCGCTGAAAATCTGTCGCTGAACAAGCGACAAACAAGATTTTATCGCTGCCGCTAATCGCTGGTCGCTAGCAACAACAAAACAATTAAAAAATCTATCTCTAACCCCTATTGCTAATCCCTGGCGATTAAATCAGCGACTGCAAAACGAACAAGGCCGTAATCATTTTGATCAACGTTTCAATTTTGATTACTCAATTTCAATCTTTACCAAATCAGAGAACTAAGAATCAACGAGACGAAGCTAAAACTGAAAATGGCATTTTCATCGAGATCATAACGAGAGAGAGTTATGGAGTAGCTAACCCAAAACCATCGGGAACAACGCGTGAAATTCGCATCTTCCTCCTCCCACCTTTATACAACTCCTCAAGAGTACAAGCCAACTTGCTCTCAATCGCCGGAGCTTTCCTATTCGCCGGCGGCGTTTTCCTACTCGTCTGACTCGCCGCATCCGCGCTTCTATATCTGCTTCCTCCGTTTTCACCGTTCCTCCTCCCGCCGCCGCCGCCTCCGCCGCCTCCGCCGCCTCCGCCGCCTCCGCCGCCGCTGGTCCCTCCTCCGCCGAATACTTCCCCCGACGCGCCGAAAAACTCGGCGAAGATATCTTCTGCGTCTCGTGGATAGTACCGGAACCCAGCGTCGTTGTTAACGGATGAGTAACTCCGCTGCGGAGCCGCCGTCTCTTGATCGGAAGACTTGAGTCCATCTTCACCGTATTGATCGTAGATCTGACGCTTGTGAGGATCGCTTAAGACGTCGTAAGCTTCGGAGATCTGTTTGAATTTAGCTTCCGCTTCTTTCTTGCTCGTGGGATTTTTGTCGGGATGCCATTTCATTGCTAATCTCCGGTAAGATTTCTTGAGATCATCTTCGCTTGCGCTTGGATTCACGTTTAGTACATTGTAGTAATCAACACCCATTGATTTTCGAAGTCGGTTATACTAAAAGAGAAGTCAACCAATCGGAGAAGTTTTAGAATTGAATTCGAGATATTTACAGAGGAGAGTTTGAGGAGGAGGAAGAAAGGAGAAGAAGAAGAGGAAGATGAATGAAGAGAGAGTGGAGTGCGTGTAAGGTAGAACATGACAAGCAGAATGTGTCTCTTTCATTACATTAATTAATGGAAACTATTCAATTCGAAACAATTATGGATGATAATAAGTACAGAAGCTTCAAGTAATGACGTGCGTTTTAGGGAGGAGTTGTTTCAGGTGGGCTACGAGTCGTCTAAGCCCAAATAAACGCCCAGTCGCAGGCTGTTAATTCCGTTAAAAATATAACGGTTTTTTTTTTAGATTTTTGGTAGACCTGAATTTTTCGGGAAGTCCCACACCCGTCCTGAATTTCCCAAACTGAAAAAAGAAATTATAATTTCCCATTCGAGTTTGAAAATAATATTTGAATGGATAAGAAAAAGTGTAGGAGCGGGAATGTGATTACCCGAACTTCCCGTTGTGTAGTTATATAAAGTGAAATTTTAGAGATTTTGGTTAATCAATTTTTTTTATAATAAACATTGATTTTTTCGAATTTATTAACAATTAATAATTTTTTTTAATAAATATTGATTTTAGTCTAATTATTTGAATTATCCGAACTCTTTCTCATCATTTTCCCGTCCCTTTCCCAATTATATTTTACTTTGAGATTGTATGGATAGTATATTTTGTTTCCCAAATTTCTCGTTCCTATCCCATACCCGTAAATTTCCCTCCCGTTATTTTGTGGGAATATTTTGGATAATATATTTAGATTCCCGAAATTCTCATTCTATCTCTTACGCATAAATTCTCATCCCGATTCCTGAAAAATTCAGACCTAATTTTTGGTATTTAGCTATGCTTTTAAAACCAGATCGGTGACCGAAACAAAAAAGTTATTGGGTCCTAGAATAATATGGTTTGATTGGGTTCAATCGGATTTGATAATATTTTATAAATTTTAATTAATTAAATATTAAATAAAATTCTTTAATAATTATATTATTTGAAAATTTTTTCATAATTTAAATTTAAAATTTTTATTATTATTATTTTACAAAGACACATTAAAAACGATCTTTGTGTCATATGTGATTTACAATTATGCCATGCTAAGGAGCTTTTCAGAGTTATATTAAAAGTGGTCTCTAATTACTAAAATAATTACAGTTCTGCCATTTTAGATCATAACAACCATTTACATTATTTTATCTTATATTTTAATATATTAATTATCCTATACTACTATGTTTATATATTTGCATAATTCACAAATTTAATATATATATATATATGCATAATATAAAGTATAATGATATTACAACTATATTTTGAAGCATGTTATCATTGTCATAGATGTATTTTTAATTATATAATGATATTACAACTATTTATTAATATATTATATATGTATTTTAATAATATAATTTATATGCGTTAAAAAAATACAAAAAAAATTGACAAAAAAAAACCAAAGCTTAAGAACATATGTTTGCATATCGTAATTTTTGGTGTCTTGAGAATTTTTTTTTTTATGATTACATATATATTTACTAGAGAGGTCCATATATAACCTGTCCAATAAGTCAATTATATCTAATATGTCTAATTGATTATGCCAATAAAATTATGGGCTTTCAACTAGACATATAGATTACGTTCCAAAAAAATATTTATTATATAATGATATTACAACTATTTATTAATATATTATGTATGTATTTTAATAATGTAATTTATATGCATTAAACAAATCACAAGAACATTTGACCAAAAAAAACAAACAAATAGAGAAATAATATAGTTTATTTGTTTCAGAATTTTAAGTTTTTATTATCCATATTTTTATTTCAAACTTGAATATTATAAAAAAAAAATTTATAGATACCTTACTCTTGCGCGAGTTACTATCTAGTATTATGTAAAGATCGTTCCATGCTTTATCGAAAGTTTGAAATACTTTATCTTGAATTTGAATTGATCTAAAGTTGTGGTGAGTTGCAGAGAGATTTAGAATAGGAAAAACAAAAGAAGCATAAAACTGTAAACAAGTTATGACTTTTGAGTTTTAATAAACAAAGGTAGAAGACGTAAAACTAAAAAGGAAAAAAAATAAGCGATATAATTAAGCTTTTTCAATTGAATTTGGTTTAACATGGTTTTCCGGTTTGGTTGGTTTTCAGGTTTTTAATGGTTCAATCCAGTTTTCTAACCGGTTTAATTTTCTTTTGGGTTCTAGTATTAATCCAATCTGGTTATATTTCTGGTTTGCAGTTTAATCTGGTTGGACCGCCGGTCTGGTCCGAATTTAAAGACATAGGTATTAAGATTTTTTGTTGGTCATAGAAATTTAAAGCCTGAAATTACAAAAAAAAAAGTCGAGAAGGGTCGAAACCTTCCGTAACCAAAAGCAAAAAAAAAAAAAACAAGTTAGAGTATAAAAATCAATCACAAAGTTAAATTCAAAAGCCATAAAAACAAAGGCCAAGCTGATTATAAATAGGAACCTGTTATAAAATGGATGCTTATCCATTATTTTTCACCACAAATCTTACCTGCTTATTCTTACATTTTTTCACCATAATCTTTACCTACTCACATCAATATTTTATGTTTATTATTCTCCTATAAATAGAGATGTATACAAAAACCACTTCATCTCTTTCTCTCGTCTCTTTCCCTTATGTTTATTCATTCATATACTCTTTATATAATATATAATATATGGATGGAGATATATATACATGTAAATATATGTAATAGTTCATAACACGTTATCAGTACGACCGACTCCTAATCCGTCATATATTTGGAGGTAAGATTGTATTTATGTTTATTCGATCTAAAATTAATATATTATTTACGGAAGCAGAAAGATAAACTATGTCTCTCTGTTTACGTATTATTTCGGGTTGATAGGCCATGCCTTCTCCGAACCAATGTTTTAAATTTATATTCAATTTCTTTTCAAGTTTACGAGATGATAGGTTATGCCTTCCCCGAACCGATCGTTATGATAGATTATGCCTTCACGATCATATGATCATATGGTAGACTATGTCTCCTCAGGTCATAATTATGGAGTTGAAGGTTAAACCTCCTCTTTATTTATATTTATATTTATGGAGTGGTAGGTTATGCCTCCTCCTTGTTTATATTTATGGAGTAGTAGGTTATGCCTCCTCCTTATTTAATTTATGATTATATATTTAAATTTATTTATCGAGTTGTAGGTTGTGTCTCCTCCTTATTTAATTTATGATTATACATTTAAATTTATAAATAGAGTTGAAGGTTAAACCTCATCCATGATCATAAAATTATAGAGTTGATGGTTTAAACCTCCTCCATGATCAGAAAATGATGGAGTGGAAAGTTAATCGTCCTCCTAATCCATATTTATGTTTTTACGTTTAAATTTATATTTGTAGAGTGGAAGATTAAATCTCCTCCCTAATAATATTATGGAGTAGAAGGCTATGCCTCCTCTTTGATCATATATTTTTTTTTGACATCTCCTTGATCATATATTTATGGAACATAAGGGTTAAACCTCTTCGGTGATCATAAAATTATGGAGTTGATGGTTTAATCCTCCTTTTTAATCATATTTTATGGAGTGAAAGGTTAAGCCTTCTCCATGAACACAAAATGATGGAGTGGAAGGTTATGCCTCCTCCTTATTTAATGGTAGGCTCGGCGTCTTCAAAACCTATGGAAGCTCTACCAGGTATGTTATTGTTATGAATTAATATGTTTAACTATCTGATATATTTTATCGATTATAATTTGGGTTAAAGACATTGAAACATGTTTTGAAAAATCAAAACTTTCGGAAGAGCTAAAAAGCTCTGAAAACTAGAAACTCCGGAAGAGCTAAAATCCCCGGAAGAGCTAGAAGCTCCGGAAGAGCTAAAATTCCCGTAAGAGCTAGAAGCTTCGGAAGAGCTAAAAGCCCCGTAAGAGCTAGAAGCTCCGGAATAGCTAAAAGCCCCATAAGAGTTAGAAGCTCCGGAAGAGCTAAAATCCCGGTAAGAGCTAGAAGCTCCGGAAGAGCTAAAAGCCCCATAAGAGCTAGAAACTCCGGAATAGCTAAAAGCCCCGTAAAAGCTAGAAGCTCCGGAATAGATAAAAGCTCCGGAAGAGCTAAAAGCTCCGGAAGAGCTAGAAGTTCCGAAAGAGAAAAATGCTCCACAAGAGCACACGATGGTGATATGCATATATGTGATAATAATAAAAAAAAGATGGCAAGGGTATATACCATAGTAAACTTGAAGTTTACTAATTGAATAAACCGGTTAAGCCATTCCGGTAGTTCCAATGATATAAGATCATTGAGAATACATGTTGAAAAACCAGAAGATTTTTCAACTATTGCATGTCACAGAGAAAAAACAATGAAACCATCGTGAAAACCATCCATGGATGGATCACCATTTTTTTAAAAAGCTCATTGGATATGTGCTGGCCCTAGAGTGGGATTCAATTCGAGATGGATAGACCTTGAAAGTGTCATCATCTCGAAGGAGAGAATTAAAGAATCCCACATCGAGTGTAAGCTGAATATCCAGAAGATTATGTTCGCACTTGAAATGAGCTTAAGATAAAGCAAATCCAAGGGACTGCAAAACCAATTACGGTGATCTCCATGTTGTGATATAAAATATGTAGTTTGACATATAGAAAACAGCTGATGGATCCTCATATGAACCTGAAGTTCATATTGAGTGAAAAAACAAAATCTTATATCCCAGCTGAGCTCCACTTAAAATAAATGTCTCAGAAGGACGGTCTATTTGAGTCTATGACACGTAAGAAATGTGATAAACTACTTTGGTTTCAAATCCTCAAAAGAAAAGGAGCGAAAGAGGATTAATCTCCTGAAGAGATTGTTGACATGGTTTGAAATAAAATCAGGTACCTGAATGAAATCGATGATAAGAGATCTCGATTCACCATGTCATTATAAAAAGTGGAACCAAAGATTAACCTCTAGAGGACCTAAAGGATTATAATGGAATTCTGTTCCCAGGAACACTACTCGATCGAATTAAAGAATGATGATCATCAAAACTCCTGAAGAAATTTATCGAGTAGTATAATAAAAGGGATTATTCCAGAGGTGATATCTTGAACCAGTAACTGGAGATATGTTTAAGGAACATTTTGCCGATTGCCATTTTGACAAAAATGAATTCCCTGCGTTGAGGGGGAGGATCTAGAGAATCACCAAAAGATAGCACAAAAGTGTACATAAACTTTGGCTTATCTCGATCCTCCTACCAATAAACGTGAGGTGGAGTTCATAAAATTGTACATTTGCAAAGTTTGGAAAACCAGTTAGTTAATGCGTTCAAAGATATAAGATGGGTGATGAAATCATATATCCCCGTTGCTAATGCTCCATCAAAAGAAATGTTCTGGAACAAATTATTGATGAGAATAGAGCAAATGAACCGCAGGTCCAATTAAAGTGTGGGAGGCCGATGGGCGTGTAAGGTAAAATCCCCTCTTAACTAAAAAGGTTCTAAAAGAGCTATATAAAGAAAATGTCCTAAAGACATTTGTGAAAAGGTTCAAGAAAAACCGAATAAAGATGTCTTAAAGACATTTGTGAAAAGGTTCAGAAGAACCAAATAAAGATGTCCTAAAGACATTTGTAAAAAGGTTTCAGAAGAACCATATAGAGAAAAATGTCCTGAAGACATTTATGAAAAGGTTCTAGAAGAACCATACAAAGATATATGTCCGGAAAACATATATTAATAGGTTCCATAAGAACCATATAAAGAGAATCGTCTAGAAGACGAGCATGGCTGCACTCTTTTTCCCTTATCATGGTTTTTATCCCAATGGGTTTTCTATGATAAAGTTTTTAACGAGGCAGCAAGGAACACACAAAATATAGACCTCCAAAGAGGAATACTTTCGGGAGGAAAAGTACGATGATATGCGTAGATGCACTCTTTTTCCCTTATCATGGTTTTTGTCTCACTGGGTTTTCCATGCTGAGGTTTTTAACAAGGTATCAAAGAATACGCAAAAGATAAACATCCAAAAGTAGAAGTCCATATTCATCTATCAAAGAGAGAGACTCCATCATCTAAGCGTTCAAAGGAAAATAAGAATATATATTTTTTCCAGGGAGAGCGTTACTGCACTCTTTTCTCTTGTTATGGTTTTTGTCCTAAACAGGTTTTTTCATAATAAGATTTTTACCGAGTCAGTACGCGATATATTGATAGTGATGGATAATCAAGGGGGAGTGTTATAAAATGGATGATTATCCATTATTCACCACCACAAATCTTACCTGCTTACTCTTACATTTCTCCACCATAACCTTTACCTACTCACATCAATATTTTATGTTTATTACTCTCCTATAAATAGAGAGATGTACGTCTTGTAAAGAGGATGAGACACAGCAATAAGAAGCAAAAATCACTTCATCTCTTTCTCTCGTCTATTTCCCTTATGTTTATTCATTCATATACTCTTTATAATATATAATATATGGATGGAGATATATACACATATAAATATATATAATAATTCATAACAGAACCATGATAATTGAGTTTATTCTAGTATCGTTTTAAAATTTGCTTCTCTTGTTTGGGCTTTTATTTATGGAGATGTTTCCGATTTCGAAATGGATTTAATAACTAATAAATACCAAACTAATAAAAGACATTTTTTTTTGTCAACACAATATTCATTAAAGCCCAAAAGAACAAAATTCGGTACAAACATTTAGCCCAGATAAAACCCAATGACTTTACACTGTTAATGAAAAGATAAACATAAGTTGACGATTTAACACGTGTAAAATAATCATGGAAAACATCCCACGTGTCCATCGGAGAGAGTAGAAACAGCCACACCATCTCTGCCGCAGGCATGCATCGCCGATTGTGCTCAGCAAAATAATTTGCTGTCGCCGATTGTGCTCAGCAAAATAATTTGTTGTCACCGCCGTGAAACGTCAAATCATGGCTGGATGTACCAAAGAACCTTTTGCAATTTCGCCGAGAGAGAGATCGAAGAGGCTAAGCTTGAAACGCCGGAATAAAACCTCGGTAAGCTGGAGACGGAATATTCTCCAGGGAGCCACCAGAACACGGCGAGAACACCAGATCGTCATACTCCTCTCTAAGATAACCGCATCACCTTATTAACTCCTCCATAAAAAAACCATCGCTCCTTTTAATCATCTAGGATGAGTGGAGATTCACATTTCATAAAAAAATAATAAGCACCGGTGAGGCAAAATCTCATCAAATCTTTCGGAATTTGACTTCTTCGAAATCATACGAAGAATCGAATAAAACATGCAAAAGGAGATGATTTAAAAACTACTAAACACAAAACACAAAAATCGAACAAGTCAAAAATAATATCCAATAAACGAAAAAAGATACAAACAAAGATCCGGTCTAATCAGACTTATTCTCCAAAAAATATATATAGTGCCGGCATCGGATTACCACCGGACACCGGCCAAAAAGATAAAACAACAATGAAAAGTTTTCGAAGAAACTTGAGAGAATTTTTCTCTTTCTAGAAAAACATTTTTTTTAAATTGAAGTTGTTGGTATTTAAAACTTTGTAACTGCTGAAGAAGAAAGAAAACATATGTAAATTTGTTTTGAACCTCAACTTTTTTGTAAATGAATATAAAAAAACTAAAAAAAATTTGTACTATTATCGTGTCACTCCAGCAAGGAACTTATCATCCATAAATGTCTATCAAACTTCTGCTCCACCCATTGTCTCCTCATGTCCCACCTGCAACTCCCACCACCACCGGATCTCCCTCATTCTCTGCCGCCGGTAACCATCACCGCCACATTCTCTCCTTATCCGCAACATGCACAACCATATCCCAGCTCAAGCAACTCCACGCCTTCACTCTCCGCACGACTCTCCCAGACGAAACCGCCACCCTCTTTCTCTACGGCAGAATCCTCCATCTCTCTTCCTCCTTCTCCGACGTCAATTACGCCTTCCGGATCTTCGATTCGATCCAACAAGAAAACCATAGCTCCTTCATGTGGAACACGCTCATCAGAGCATGCGCACATGACGTTTCGAGGAAAGAAGAAGCGTTTCTTCTTTACCGGAAAATGTTGGAGAGAGGAAAATCAACGCCGGATAAACACACTTTTCCATTTGTCTTGAAAGCTTTAGCTTATGTGTTCGGATTATCCGAAGGGAAACAGGTTCATTGTCAGATTTTGAAACACGGGCTTAGTGGAGATGTGTATGTGAACAACGGTTTGATTCATTTGTATGGATCTTGTGGATGTTTGGATTTAGCACGGAATGTCTTCGATGAAATGCCTGAGAGAAGTCTCGTTTCTTGGAATTCGATGATTGATGCTCTGGTTCGTATCGGAGAGTTTGATTCAGCGTTAGAGATGTTTAGACAGATGCAAAAATCTTTCGAACCAGATGGTTATACGATGCAGAGTGTTTTAAGTGCTTGTGCTGGTCTTGGATCTTTGTCACTAGGTACTTGGGCACACGCGTTTCTCTTGCGAAAATGCGATGTTGCTAATGCCATGGATGTTCTGATCAAGAACTCATTCATCGAAATGTATTGTAAATGCGGATCCTTGAGAATGGCAGAGCAGGTGTTTCAGGGGATGCAAAAACGTGACTTAGCTTCATGGAACGCGATGATTCTAGGGTTTGCTACACACGGAAGAGCAGAGGAAGCTTTTGATTGCTTCGAGTGTATGAATGTTAAACCGAACTCAGTCACGTTTGTTGCTCTCCTCATCGCTTGCAACCACCGAGGCATGGTGAACAAAGGGCGCGAGTATTTTGAGATGATGGTCAGAGATTACGGCATTGAACCTGCGTTGGAGCATTACGGTTGCATCATCGATCTTGTTGCTCGTGCAGGCTACATTACAGAAGCTATTGATATGGTGATGAGCATGGCGATGAAACCAGATGTAGTGATTTGGAGAAGTCTTCTTGATGCTTGTTGCAGAAAAAGTGCTAGTGTGGAGCTAAGTGAAGAAATTGCTAGACGTGTGATTGAAACAAAGGAAGATAACCAAAGCTCAAGTGGTGCTTATGTTCTGTTGTCTAGGGTTTATGCATCAGCTAGTCGTTGGAACGATGTTGGAACTGTGAGAAAACTAATGACTGAACATGGAATCAGGAAAGAGCCCGGATGCAGCTCCATTGAAGTAAATGGAATTTCACATGAGTTTTTCGCAGGAGACACATCGCATCCTCAGACTAAGGAGATATACCAACAGTTGAAAGTGATTGAAGACAAGCTAAGATCAATTGGTTATTCACCGGATCGCTCTCAAGCACCTTTAGTGGATGCAACTGATGATGGTAGCAAAGAGTATTCACTTAGGCTCCACAGTGAGAGACTTGCTATTGCGTTTGGTATGATAAACTTGCCACCTCAGACTCCGATCCGTGTATTCAAGAATCTACGCGTCTGCAGCGATTGCCACGAGGTTACTAAACTGATCTCAAAAGTATTCAACACTGAGATCATCGTGAGAGATCGTGTTCGGTTCCATCACTTCAAAGACGGATCCTGTTCTTGTTCAGACTATTGGTAGCAAAAACTAGCCGCAGAGAGCAATTGAAAACAAGATTGAGAGTATTTTTCATAAGTTTGGCAATCAAGCAGCATCTCTAAAACAATCAGTTTCTTATAGCTGAGCTAACAACAAATCATTTGCAGCCATAGCCTTCAAACATATACATCTCTCACTTGATGAACTCTTCTGCTACTGTTACATGGAAGAAAAACATAGTAACAAGCTTCAGTATCAGTGTCAAAGGAATGATTTTTTTGGATTTAGGACAGAAAGAAACTAACTTTTCGATGAGGTCGGGACTAAGACGACGGTCATGTCGGCATTGTTCGGCGGAAGCTGAAGACGCAACGGGAAAAGCTTCCCGTTCAAAGGACTACGAGTACAAACGATAACGTCTTCTACATTGCTCTCTTCTTTCAATCTCTTAGTCAACTCTTCAACGCCATTGCCTTTGAAAGTAAACGAGTTTACCTCAACGGAATCATCCTCAACCTCGCCGTCATCGTCCGCCATGTGGTAGTATATCACTCTCCCTTCCGATTTCGGCGGCGATCCAACCGCCACTGAATCCGTTGACTGCAACACACAAACACAGAACATAAAGTCAACGACTTCGTCAAATTCGGAAAGTTTTTGTCAATTCAAGAACTCACTTCTTGTCTGAAGAATCGGTTAGATCTGCAAGAAGGAGATCCAGGTTCGAAATCGAGTGAATCGGAATGGTGAAGCGGAGACGGAGGTTGTTGTTGTTGTTGTTGCTGGTGGTGTTGTTGATCGGTGAGAATCTCGACGACGTCGACGTGCCAGAGAATCCAATCTTGAGTCGCGGATCTATGAGGAATATCGTGAGTGACGGAGTTTCTCCACGGTGGCAAACCGCCGTTACCGCGGAGGTAGTGACCGTAACGAGTCTTGAGCTTGACTAAAGCTGCGTCTCTGATGGGTTCCCAAGCGAGAGACGAGTCGAGACGACTCGGGTTAGACTGTAGGACTTTTCTTCCGGTGGCTCCGAGGAGAAACGGTTTGTTTGACGCCGTCAAGTATTTGCCGTAAGCGCTTTTGAGACGGATGAGATTGGTGGAGCCAGGGACTAGCTCGACGGTCCATTTGGCTGCGCCTGCTGAGCCGTTACGTTCTTGAGCGACGGATTCTTCGTCTTCGTCGGCGATTAGGTATTTGTCGTGGTGGCTCTTTAAACGAACAGCTTTGGCCTTTTGAAAAAACTCCATTTGAGAGAGAAGGAGAGGTTGAAGATGGTGTGAATGTAGTTAGTATATTGATGAATATAGAGCTGGATTTTGATTGGGTCTTGGGACCTTGTCTTTAAGAAAGGTATTAAATATTCTTAATTATTCGCTTTCGTCTTTCTTTTTATGGAATTTTCTGAATTTTGAACTAAATAAATTGTGTCTTTTTCACTCTTTTTTTTCGTACGCTTTTTGTTAGTTACTTAATTTATTCTAAACTAGGTGAATACCCGCACCTAAATTGCCGATTTTTTTCATCAACTATTTCAAATTTATATATTTTGTATTTTTTAAAAAAAATATAATCACTATTTATTATGTGTTAGTATATTATTATAAATCAATCAATTTAAAATGTAATATCATTAAAAATCAAGAGTTTATAACATAAATTCGTGTTTAATATTTACATAAATATTATTTAAAAATCAATTAATAGATTTTTTCTTATTTTTGATTGGTTGAAAATTTAATATTAAAATTTATTAATTAATTTTCCTTTTTAAAACTGTAATTTTAAATAGGTTGTTTCTTCAACTATTTCAAATTTAAGTATAATCATTTGTTATTTGTTAATATATTATTATAAATCAATTAATTTAAAATATAATATTATTAAAAACAAAAAGTTATTAAAAATATTAATTTTTAATTAATTATAACATAAATTTTTGTTTAATATTTACATAAATGTTATTTAAGAATTAATTAATAAAAAGACTTTTCATTTTCTTTGAGTGGTTTAACATTTCATATTAAAATTTATTAATTAATTTTTTTAAAAAACTATAATTTTAAATTAAAAAATAACACATGTCATTTCCATATCAATTCTCAAATGCTGATGTGTCACTCATATGGAGAAAGTTGAGCAACTTTTATATATAAGATTACTCCAGCCGTTTAAAATAAGTAATTTTAAAAAAGTTATAAGTCATTTGACATTTTTAAAAGTCCATTTCTAACAAAATTCCTTTTCACGATGATCTCAAGATCTGGAAGACGCGGATTCAGCTTTAGCCTCAAGCTCGCCTAGAAACTCTGCGACTTTATCGATATCCGGTACCACATTCTTCACCGTTTCATCAGACAAGAACTCTTTGGCCCATCTACAAAGAGAAGGAATGTTTGATTCGTTTAAAAGTTTTTCTCCTTTAAGCTGCTCTCTAGCTTTCAAGACAACCAAAAAGCTTCCGAGGCAAATGTCCATGAAACCGATGGTTTCACCGCCAAAAAATGGTTTCCCTTGGCTTAGAGCAATAAATGCTTCCTCGAGATGCAACAACCCTTCTTCCACTTCTTCCATGCTTATCTTTTTCCCGTCTTCCGATTTTGTGGTTGCCGCTGCTCTCAAAGCCGGAAACCACTGTATTTTAAAAAAGGGATGTCTAGTGAGAATTGTGTTATAAGATTTTTGTCCTAAATCTTAAACAAATTAAGGATGATGGTTTCTTAATAAAGGTTTGATTATTTCCACTCTAGCTTAATGGTTTCGGGCTAGTTTCAAACTTCCATCAATATATTTTGGGAGATAAACTAGTTCAGTCTCTTATCTTTATATTAATATGTGTATATATAAAATATAATCAGCAATCTGCAACAAGTAAAACGGGATTATTTTCCAATTATTTCAAGCCGAATTGTTTGCATGGTCCATTTAATATCAACGATCTAGCTATATAAGAGTAAACAATGACTTTTTGTCACTAGCAAAGGCAAATCTAATTAGTATCCCTCTTATAACACTAAAAAATTCATCGCATCCACAAACCACTGATCACAGATTAAAAAATCTCTAGGAAAAAAAAAGCAGACCTTGTTATCAACGTACGCAGACCAGAAGCGAGCTAGAGCGCGATTATGAGGATGTGAAGGAAGAATGGATGGTCCAGATGAGTTCCAGGTCTCATCGATATACTCAACAATGTTGAGAGACTCGGAAACCGGTTTATTATTGTGGATGAGAACCGGGACTTTCTTATGAATCGGGTTCGATTTGAGAAGAAGCTCACTCTTGGATCCGAACAAATCTTCTTCAAAGTAATCATAATAGACCGATTTGAGACGAAGAGCGATTTTTGGTCTTATGGCGTAGGGACTGTACCATACTCCCAATAGTTTCACTTGATCTCTCTCGCCCATATTTTTTTGGTTTTTTTGTGAAATATGTTTTACTTGGTGTGTATTCCTTTCCACGGCTCATTCCTTCTTTTTATTTTGTCTGCTTTTGAGAAAATGACAAAGTAAGTCATACGTTACGTTTTAAAATTCGAACGTACTTAAAACAATTTGTGACATATAAGGCATTTTCTAGAATGTGTGCCAAATGACAATTCAAGAAAGATTCTCACTAAGGATATGAGCTATAGATTGTCCACGTGTCGTAATTATTTAGAGATGAAGATAAAAGTGATGATTAAATTAATTATAGCATGTCTAACTTGTCATTTACCGTAATATTTGCCTTGGGGACAGCCTTCATCAACATCCATTTGTCCACTCTTATATCTCGGCTTTTCGTCCAAACCCATGCAATCATTCTTTTATTAATTAACATCATCTTCACCCATGATGGCATTTAGCTTCTCCATCTTATCCTTAAAATTGCAATGAAGTATTTCTAAGAACTAACAAAGAGCGGAAAAAAAAAAAAAAACAAAGAGCGGATAAAGATATAAAAACTAACAAAGAGCGGATAAAGATATAAGAACTAAAAAAATAGCGGATAAAATCATAAGAACAATGATGGACCTTAGTCAAAAGACTCAAAACCAGTGGCAAGATATGAAACAAACATCCAAGCAATCAAATGAAAATTACTAATGATCATTATAAATGAATAGACTACTGCCATATTGGTTGTTTGAATCCGACCGCATCAAAATACAATTATAAAAAAACATGTTACCAAAAAACAAAGATGAATGGAAAATGCTGAGGAAGTGTAACCATCGTAGTTGATGACAATATTGACCAGAATCTTGGAAGAAAATAATTTTTTTTTAGAGGTTTATCATGTAAATTCTCAGATTTTGTTAAGTCCATCTGCTCATATATTATATCCACTAAGAGAGAACCCGTTCATTTGTTTTGTAAGTAAATATGTGTTAGATTTTTAAGATATTAGTAACTTTTTTTCATATGTTATTTTTTTTTGAGTTTTGTTCATCAAAAATCAGACTAACAACACTTTTAACTTTCCCAATTTATCATTTTCATAGTTTTTTTATTACACATATTTCATTCAAAAAATCTTTCCAACCGATATCTTCAAAATTGTTGTCATGCATATTATTTTCTTTTCTTTTTTTCTTTTTCATTTTCTCATTTTTTTTATATCTTGATATTTTCTTAATTTTTATTGATTTTTTTTGTGTTATATTTTTTTTGTTCTTATTTATTATTCTTCAATTGTTTGATTTTTTAAACATATTATTTCAGTTTTAACCTCATAACTTGCTTTTTTTATCTCTTTTATATATTTTTATCTATTTTTGAATTTTTTTCATTTAAATCCTCTCAAAACAATTAATTTGAAAGTTCTCAATTTATCATTTTCATAACTGTTATTACATATATTATATTCAATCCATATTTCTAACCAATATCTTTAAAATTTTGTATATTTATTTATTGCCATATTCTTTTCTTTTTTATTGTCTATCATTTTCTTTGTAATTTTGATATTCTCTTATCTTCTCGATTATTTATTGAATTTTTTTGTGTGTGTTTAGTTCTATAGTTCTTGTTTTTTGTTCTTCAGTTGCTTGAAAATATTTTTAATTATTGTTTTTAGTTTTGGTCTTAAAATTTTTTTATTTCTTTATTTTTATTTATTGATTAACTTTTTTAGTTCAAAGATGAGGATTAAATCACACAAAAATAAAATCAAAAGATAATCAGTATAAATTAATAAATTTGAATTTTATTTATTTTAAATTTATGATTTAATATTTTTAATTTAACATTGTTAAATGTAAATTAAATAGTTAATATGTTTTTATGTTTTTATTAAAATTGGTTTGTTATTCTTATTTATTATTCTTTGGTTTTTTGTTTTTTTTAAAACGTATTGTTTTCAGTTTAATCTTGTAACTTGATTTTTACCATTTTGTATTTTTTATGATCTTAATTTTATCCATTCATTTTTCAAATTTTTTCATTCAATTTTTCATATAATGATAATTTTAATCTTTCTCAGTTTATCATTTTCATATTTTGTTATTACACATATTTCATTGAATCTCTCTTTCCAATCAGTATAATTAAAATTTTGTATTTTTATTTATCACCATATTTTTTTCTATTTTTATGTTGTTTAATAAAATTTCTTTATTATTCTTATTTGTTATTCTTCAGTTGTTTGGTTTTTATCAAACATATTGTTTTCAGTTTAGTCTCATAACTTGATTTTTACCATATTGCATTTTTTTATGATCTTAGTCAAAAATTTTATCCATTATTTTCAATTTTTTTCATTTAAATATTTATATAATGATAATTTTAATCTTTATTAATTTATCATTTTCATATTTTGTTATCACACGTATTTCATTGAATCTCTCTTTCCAACCAGTATAATTAAAATTTTATATCTTTCTTTGTTACCAATTTTTTTTCTACTTTGTCTATCATATTTCTCTCTAATTTTGATATTCTCTTATCTTATCAATTTTTATTCTTTTGTGTGTTATGATTTTATAGGTTATATTTTTGTTCTTTAGGTGCTTGAAAATCTTTTAACTATTATTTTTATTTTTGGTCTGAAAACTTTTTTTTTAATAATTGATTGAATTATCTTTATTAATTCAAAAGATGATGATAAAATCATAAGAAAAATAAAAATGAGAAGATAATCACTATACTTTAATAAATTTGAATTTTATTTACTCTAAGTTATATTTTAATGTTTTTAATATTACATAATTAAATTTAAATTAAATAGTTTATATATATATATATATATATTTTTTTTATGTTGTTTTATGAATTTTTTAATTTTAATTATTATTTTGTAGTAATTGCTGATCTGTAAAAATAAATAATAATTGACCAATAAAGGGGAGGCTGATGTGTCAATCCCTAGAGAGTCTCCTCCAACTATTATATGTTAGACAAGACTTGTATCCGCGCATACACGCAGGTTTTATTTCACATAATATTTTTAAAAATATGTTTGTGTTGATATATATATATATATATATAGTTAATTATAAGAATATGATAATTTGTTTGATTGTTTAGTATTAGGTTTTTTAAAAATAAATTCTTTGTAAAACAAATAACTTTTTTTAAGGATTGGAAATATGGTAATTAGGAAAATTATTTTACTATTCTAGAAATCATAAACATATTATAAGTAAAAAAGACGTAGATAAAAGTAAGATAAAACATATAATTACCTCCAATTTTTAATGTTCTCAAATTTATGACATGTACAATTGCCTTGATTCTGCAAGAACCACCTCATACTTTGTGTTTCACAATAAAATGCAGCTATAATAATATCATATTTGATCCATAAAAACCGCCAAATCTTTGAATGAAGATAACGCTACATCTTTACATTTTTTCATACAACAAGCTTCGAAAAAAGTGTTTATGATGAGGATAAGCCGGAAGAAAAGTATCAAGTTAGTATAAAAAAATATTAAAAAGTTTTAGACGAATACCAAAAAATTAGAAATGTAAAAAGTTAGAAATGTTGTTTATTTATTTTTGTTAGGAATGTGAAAAGCCTTAATATTAATGTAACTTAATAGTTATGAACATAAATATAGATGAAATAAACATTAAATAGAATAGTTAAGTTAGAATTAGTGGTATTAATTAGTTTTTAATTTTAATTTTTTATTTTAAAATTTATGATTTATTAATTAGTTGAAAGGACAAGTGTCCTTCATTCAGATGCTGATGTGCAAGCATGATGGAGAGAGTTCACCTAAAATCATATATATGATTATCTATATATATAAAGTAAAATATTATCTCTTCTCATGATACCACATCATTTTTTCAAACTCTAAAATTTTGACACATCATCAATTCATTTATTAATTTATAATTTATTTTATTTGTGTTATTATATTTGAATTCTCATGGTAACTATCATCCATTACTTTAACAAGAATATGAAAAGACACTCTTTATAAATAATAGTTTATATATTAATGCATTAATTCATTAATATTTTAAATAATTTACTTTATTATATGATTCGATAGATATGAATAGTAAATCACAAATTTTAAGATAGCCGAATTTGGATCCAGTTTTATCAAATCCGAGAACAAATTTTCGGATCCAAGTTTTTTAATATCTAAAAATATCCAAATTCGTTTTAAAACCGTTATAAAATATTAAAATATAACAAAAGACATAAATTTTAAGAAAACTAGAATAATAGATTATAAAATTAATTAAATGCATATTAATGGGTAATAAATATTCACACGAGTTGCTTTAAAGTGACAATTATATCATTTTCTATTTTAATTATTTTTGTTATTTGTAATAGCATATCATGTAATAATTTACAAAATAAAATTATTTATTTTAATGATTACTTAAATAATAATATAGAGATGCGAGAAGAGTGCGTAATAATTACACGTCTTGGGTCTGTGTTCTTGATAGAACTCTTGCAGCACTTGAAGTTCTCATATCATGTCCTGTATATGGAATCTGGATGTACAGTTTTGTCTCTGTTAATGTAAGAATTCAGTTCGTTACAGTCTCATTACAGGACGACAAACATTTAATTTTGATCTTTGTAACGTGAGGGTTCATTAATACATCTCTTCTATTATTGATACATCTCTTGTATTTTTTTTTTTTAATTTCGTTTCATTTACATATAGAAAAATGTTGTGACACGACACGCAGATAGAAAAACCGAATGCAGCAAAGTGAGGACTAACGTGCCTTGGGGTTCACTTCAGTGCCAAAGCTCAAGTTAATGTCGAGGGATCTTGTCGTGACTATGTCTCTTGTCCTCTTGTTTTCAGATATCAGACACTCCTTTAGCTCATGAACTACATGTGACATGTTGGGTCTTTCTAAAGAAGAAGGAGCTTTCCATGCAGAAAAGAGTCATACTCATACATCCCTTGGAGTCTAGGATCCATAACATTGTAAGTCAAAACTGTAGACATCAATCTTCTCAGACAACCTAATTGTTTGGTAATATCTGCAAAAGACAAAACAATTATAATTTGTTTATTTTAACCGATAGAGAAGGTCGTTGAATATTTATTTATACTTAGAGACATGAATTTCATCTAACCGTTGACTATTTTTATCACAACTTTTTTGAGAAATTCTTTTTACACAGATAAATAGCTGGGATTTGATGTGACAATTGTAAATAGTTGAAAAATTAAATGAAAAACTAACTAATCACAAAATAACAGATTTAATGTTTCACCATTTTGAAATTAACGGTTGACTATTTTTTATTACAGTTTTACAAAGTCAACCACGAATTAAGAAATCATATAGTTGAAGATTTAATATACCAATTGTAAATAGTTGGAGAATTTAATGAATATTTATAGGGAATATGTTTGTCTGATTTTTTCATGTATATAAAATTTTAAAATTTATCATGTAACCATCGGGGTAAGCATATTAAACTACCAAGTCTTTGATTGATTACGTCAAATTATGTTTTAAAAAATCAAACGATAAAATAGCTAGAAATCATCGTATAAAAGATTTTTTTAAAGTTCAGTTAAGCGCAGTCAATCAAGACTTGGAAATTTTTTTATTTTTTTTTTTGGTCGAAGACTTAGAAATTTAATCTGCGTAAGTAACTGGGAAATACATATTAATAAAAAAAATATTAATAAAAAAATTAACGTTGTAATTTTATTGCATGTGTACACACATCACACATGTGCCTTCTGCCACCAATATTCCACAACTCTCTCTATTTTGCGCTGTAATTTTTAACTTTTCTGATGTTTAACGATATTTATTTGTATGTAAATAATGTCTAGCGATTTTTGTTTTTTAATGTCTAGCGATTTTTATTTGTGTGTTAAAAGAAAATATTGATCTTTTATGCACATACATGGGACATATCAGCCATCTATAAGTATTGGGGACAAAGAATCTCTGATAAGTATTAAGACTCAAAGAAGTTATAGATTAGTACTTTTATTCGGGCACCAACATTGGTCGATCGTTTCTAAGAGACTACTCGTTCCATCGATCTTCTACTCTAGATATTCTCTCCCATTTGTATTAGAAATATATATAATTGATCTTTTCTTTCGGCCGGTGACAATTTCAAAAGTTGACATTCCTAAGCTTTCACTTTCGTTATGCATAAGAGAAATATATATAGTTTGGTTCGATGTATAGCCATTTAAAAAATTTGGTAGTTGCCAAGTTATTGTTATTTGAGAAAATGAGAACTGAGAGGTAGTCGAGAAAATGGGGGCAACTTTAAACGAGCTTCTGTTTGCTGTGTGTGCGACTTTCTCCATTTTTCATCTGGCTCAAGCTCAGAATCAACAAGGTATATATATATTGTTACCATCTTTATCTCTTTTGTATTTATATTCTCTAAATAAATATGTTTTTTGAACAGTTACAAAGCCTTTAACCTTTGTGAGAGTTTGAGATCGAACTTAATCAACAACAAAATAATATATGTATATATATATCCGATCTTACCAGGATTCATCAGTTTGGACTGTGGATTACCTACTAACGAGTCTCCTTATAACGCGCCCTTGACCAATCTAACATACATATCTGATACCGGTTTCATCCACGGCGGAAAAACTGGTACCATCCAGAAAGACTTGGAGACACGATTTCTGAAGCCATATAGGAGTTTGAGATACTTTCCAAATGGAATACGAAATTGCTATAATCTGAGCGTGACGCAAGACACAAAGTATCTGATCAGGACTGTGTTTTTATATGGAAACTACGATGGTCTTAATACTTCTCCAAGATTCGACCTCTATCTCGGCCCTAATCTTTGGACAACCGTAGATGTGAAAATATCGGGTATAGGTGTTGCTGAAGAGATCATTCACATCACAAGATCAAACATTTTGGAAATATGTGTCGTTAAGACAGGGACAAGTACACCACTAATATCAGCCATAGAATTAAGACCGTTGCAATATGATACTTATATTGCTCGAACTGGTTCCTTGAAGTTTGTTGACCGAATCTATTTCAGCAATTCGGAAAAGATTGTACGGTATATATGTCAACTTAATTAGCCCAACTAAGCTTCCTTTTTTTCCATCACGAATATGCTCTAATATTTTCTCACTTATTCTAAGTATTTTTTTACTTGACTATGGCAGTTATCCTGAAGATATCTATGATCGTGTTTGGGTTCCGTTCTTGCCGCTAGATTGGACGGAGATAAACACAACCCGCAACGTTGTTGATTCTTATAAAGACTATAACCCACCACAAAATGTGATTAAGACCGCCGCCATACCAACCATTTCCAATGAATCATCAATGACCTATTCTTGGACTCTGGACACCACTGACGACGAGACTTATGCGTTCCTTTACTTCGCTGACATCCAAGATGTGCCAGATAATGAAACCAGGGAATTTGACATTATCGCAAATGGTAAAGTTGAATACGATCCTTATAGTCCCCTGAAGTTCGAAGTAGAGACTTTGTTTAACCGTGTACCGGTGAAATGCGAGGGAGGGGTATGTCGTGTGCAACTCTCAAGAACTCGGAAATCCACTCTTCCACCTTTGATCAATGCTTTAGAGATTTTCAAGGTCATTGAGTTTCCACAATCAGAGACGAACCAAGATGACGGTATGTAACTGTGTTGTTTTAATGAATACAAGACATACTGATTATAGTTTGTTACGTACATGTTAATTCTTGTTTCTTCTTTTATGAGTTTTATCCCATTTTCCAGTCATTGCTATGAAGAATATCCGTGCTACTTATAAATTCAGTAGAATCAGCTGGCAAGGTGATCCATGTGTTCCTAAACAATATGTGTGGACTGGTTTACGCTGCAATGTTATAGATGTGTCCACACCACCTAGAATCGTAGCATTGTAAGAACATTCAAAACCAATCTTGTTATCAAAACTTGATTAAGCAATTCAAAAACTAACTCGTATGTGAAGTGCATGTCTCGGATCATGTCAACAGAGATTTGTCTTCAGGTGGATTAAGTGGAGTTATACCGCCTAGCATACGAAATCTAACTCAACTTCAAGAATTGTACGTACCTCCGGGATTCCATATTAGGATTATTTTATTTTGATGACCAACGAGTTACGGGGTTTCCGTCTATAGACTTTATGAACCAGAAACCAAAAACAGTCATAAACTCTTACGTACGATTAAACCAGATGGTTGACATTTTTTAACTCAACAAATTTTAGGGACTTGTCGAATAACAACTTGACTGGAGAAGTGCCTGAATTTCTAGCCGAGATCAAATCATTGATGGTCATGTACGTTTTCTGAAAAGCACAACAATTTTTTTTGCCGTGCTAATTTCTAATGATCTCTTCATATCCATATATAGAAGCTTAAGTGGAAATAAACTTAGAGGCCCCATTCCTCAAGCCCTTTTGAAAAAGGAAAAAGAAGGACTAAAGCTAAAGTAAGGTTCTTCTTTGAGGTGACCCTCTTTCTATTATGTGTCATCCATTCTGTTTCAATATCTGATCGATGTCTTCTACAATGTATTTATTCCTTAGTCTCGATAGATATCTAAAGGAATGTAAGTCATGCAAACAAAAATTCCCGGTGGCGGCGGTTGTTGCTGCTTCTGTTTCTTCTGTGGCCATTATCATAATTGTTTTGGTTCTCATTTTCATTTTCAAAAGGAAAAAGCCATCAATCTCTAAAGGTATTTAGAAAAAAAATAATTATATATGCTCCATTGCGAAAGTATGAAAAGTCATGGGTCCTTCAAATCATTTTTTTTTTTGCAGTTAAACGGCCATCACTAGAAATGAAGAATAGAAGATTTACCTATTTGGAGGTCAAGGAAATGACTAATAACTTTCAAGTTGTTCTTGGTAAAGGAGGCTTCGGTGTTGTTTGTCAGGGTTTTCTAAATAATGAACAAGTAGCCGTCAAAGTTCTCTCTCAGTCATCAACTCAAGGCTACAAGGAATTCAAAACAGAAGTACTTAGTTACATTCAAATCTTTCACTCTTTTTTTTGGCAATCTTGACTTCATCAATCATTCCCTTTTATATCCTTGATCCATAGGTCGAACTACTACTAAGAGTTCACCACGTAAATTTAGTAAGCCTCATTGGATATTGTGATGAAGGAAATGACTTGGCTCTCATCTACGAGTTCATGGAAAATGGAAACTTAAAGGAACATCTTTCAGGTAGACTTATTAGAGTGAAGACAAAAAAAAAAAAAAAATGATCTCTTTCAACTTCAAAACACTCCAGTAAATATTTAACTATATAGTGATTTTTGGCAGGAAAACGTAGAGGCTCTGCTTTGAACTGGTCGAGTAGACTTAAAATAGCTATCGAGTCTGCGCTAGGTTTGTATATCATTTTTTATTTATTTAAAGTTGATATGTTCTTATTCCTTTTAATTTTCATGTTTATGATACATGTAGTTAACATGTGAAGGTTTTTTCTATGTACTAGGAATTGAGTATTTGCATATTGGATGTAAGCCGCCAATGGTCCATAGAGATGTGAAAAGTACCAATATATTATTAGGTCAAACTTTTGAGGCCAAACTTGCCGACTTCGGACTTTCCAGATCTTTCCTAGTGGGGAGTAAAACTCATGTATCAACAGATGTTGCTGGAACTTTTGGATATCTTGATCCCGAGTAAGTATACGTATTATAGTTTCAAAGATATCTGCTTTCTTGCTTGTTTAGTTAAAAAAAAAAACAAGAAGGTTCAAACATCATCAAGTATTTGTCTTGCAGATACTACCAAAAGAATTGGTTAACGGAGAAGAGTGATGTTTATAGCTTTGGGATTGTGTTACTGGAGATTATCACTGGCCAGCCTGTGATAGAACAATCACGTGAAAAGTCTTACATAGTAGAATGGGCCAAGTCTATGCTCGCAAAGGGTGATATTGAAAGTATTATGGATCCGAATCTCAATCGAGAATACGACACAGGTTCATCTTGGAAAGCTCTTGAATTAGCAATGTCATGCATCAACCCTTCTTCCGCAGAGAGACCAAACATGACACGGGTTGCTCATGAACTAAATGAGTGTTTGGAAATATACGACAACTCAAGTAAAACAAGGAGCCAAGATGCAAATTCAACCAACTCCATGGGACATAGCATAAGTTGCATCAGTGATACTCCTTCAGCTCGTTAATCTTTTCTTCTCTAATGTTTTTTCTTTGAAAAATATTCTCCCCACAGGTTGTGTTCAAGTCTTTAATGTGAATATGTTAAAAGCTTCATCTTATGCTATGGAATTCACTATTTGATTTTTTTCTGAACAATGTATCAAGATTGAGGAATCGTATGATTCATATGAATTAATGTTCTTCCTTAGCGTGTTCAACGTGTCACGTGATCGTGATGGTAAACAAACGCCTTCATTATTAATAGATCATCTGCTTCTCTGAAACCAAGATTTGCTGATAGAATAACTAAAGTTATAGTTACACCAAACGGACTACTATAACAGATTTGAAGAATCAACAGATGAAGATGATGATATGCTTGATCTTGCTTTCAGGCTAACTGAAACTGTAACTCTGTTACTCTTAAACCCACAAAAAAAAAAAAAAAAAAAATTAAGGCCACGACTCGGATGCCAAGTCATCTCTTTGATCCTTACTGCGCATCAAAGAGATGACTCATGTAGTCATGTAGAGTTTGATAACTGAGACAAAACAGTTTTATATTACATATCTTAGTTTTAATCTTATTATTTCTTGTTATGTCTAAGTTGAAACAGAAAAAGCTTAAGCAATTTTTGGAGGATTCTCACTGCAGAATAAGTACAAGGCTTGATTTCTTTGATGTTAATAAACTCAAGATTTTTAGTCAAAGGAAGATAGTTCACATCATTTGAAACTTTTTTGGCGTTTAGATATTGTAGAACGACAAAAAGCAAAAAGACAATATTACTAAATGCAACAATACACGAGGGCACATATGAAACTACGAGCATGCTTAAAAGGAGGGGTCATGAACGACTTTGAAAATGTTTATTCTAGAAATGCATATCATCGTAATTCGTAATCATCGAACATGTCATCATAGTCAGAAGCACCTGAGAGGTCATAGTAAAACTCATCATCTGACACCATATCGACATCAGAGAAGCCATAAGGGTAGTCATCTTCTGATGAATCCACATCGTTAATCGTTGCATCAAATGGGTAATCATGAATCGAATCATTGGGGCGTCTCACAACTTTGATCCGCTCGGAACACCGCTTCTCCAGATCCCAACAAGGTTAACGTTGAAACACTGGCGTAAATCAAGATGTTCCAGGTTAGGACAACTATCAAGAATGGCGTTTAAACCGGCGTCTGTTAATTTGTTCCCGAAAAGCTGAAGGTGGCGAAGTCCGGACATCGTTTCAGCGATTGCTAGGGCAATATCGTCACACTCGTGTCGAGGACGCCTGTAACCCACACAGTTCTTTTTCAATGTCTTCAGATTAGGACAAGACTGGCCTACAACTTTCAGAGACTCTCCTGATAATGAGCAGTATGAAATCTCGAGGTCTTCAAGCAAAGGAAGTTTCACGACAGCTTCAATAAGTCCCTCGTTTGTTATTTGATAGCACATTGCAAGTTTAATGCTTCTCAGATTACTTGAACTGCAAATAGTTTGGTGTAAAACTTTAGAAACATAATCAAAGATAGAGAAGAAGAACGATAAGATGCAAAACATCTTTTCCTAGCACCGCAACACTAACCATTTAGACCTCAGAAGCATAACAATCTTAGAATCAAAAGTGGATGTTTTCTACTCCGAAATGCGAAGGGCAGGTGAATAACAGTCACAAGCCAGTAAATTGACTTCAAACTTGCAAAACGTACATTCACAAGTAAGAGTAACTCAATGTCCAAAAGTGCATTCATCAGAAGAGATCCAGCAGACGGAAAGAGACGAGATAAATACCGTTTAGAGAGTGATAACAAAAAATTCCTCCTCCAAAAGCAATCATTAAGCTACCAATAATTTCCACACCTCTCTTAAGGAAGAAGAACTTAGGAACTCAGAACGAGCAAGTTGTTTCATGGCCAAAATATGTACTAACCCTACATTTAGCAAAACCCCATATAACGACTGAAATCAAAGTAACCCAATTCTCTAAACACAGATTCAAAAATTCCCCTTGAAGAAAACAAAAATTCGCGAGATATTGTCACATGGAAAGAGAGAGAGCGGGAGAGAGAGAGAAAGAGAGAGAACCTATCGGCGATGTAATTGAGGAGAGAAACAGTACAAAAGTTCCGAATATCGATCTCAACCAAACCGCCATGGCTAAGATCAACTGCGTGACGGCACATTTTCTCGAGGAGGTCGTAATCCACGTCTTCGAAGTTAAGCATGTCAATTTTCCGCCACATCGAGGGGTCTTTGCAAACGCGATACCACGATTTGCAAACTTTCTGTGCGTTTTCCAATATCTCAATCGCGCCAAGCCGGTGCAGAATCGATGACGTCAATTCCGGCGGAAGCAAAGACGAAGAAGCCAATCTCTTTATCTGAGGATTAGAATTTAGAACGTCGAGGACATAGATGAGACTGAAACCATAAGACCATCATTATTGCTAAGATCATGTCCAACGCAAGGTTTATATGAGTTCATGGGATTCATAATATTTTATTATTAATTTTGGAATAAGAGTTTAAAATAATAACTTTCTTATTTATAATAATAATGCATTGATAAAATCTAGATTGAGTTTCTTAAGGAATTTTTTTTAAAAACAAAGATAATAATTTGATTATAACATAAACACACTCTTAACATAAAATAGAAATTAACATTCTTAACATAAACACACTCAGACATAAAATTAATTTGTAAACGAAATTTAACAACGTGAACTCAGATATCTTGATCTCATCCAAATTTTTGCTATATATTCTCAATCGTTCATGGATTCCTGGATCCTGGATTTTTTTTCGAGTATCCATCATATTGGCAATGTTTGTAGGCATAGCCGTTAAATATGTGTTATCCACATTTGCACTTCCGTCTTCTTCTTCTTTTTGGAAATCTGACACATCTAGTAGATTTTATCCATCTCTTTCATCTTCTACTATCATGTTGTGGAGTATGATACAAGCTCTCATAATTTTACCTATTTTTTCTTTATCCCAAAAAAAACTGGATTTTTAACAATGGCAAACCGAGCTTGCAATACTCCAAAAGCGCGCTCCACATTTTTTCGGACAGATTCTTGAACTTCATCAATTTTTTTTGCTTTTCGACCTTTGTGGAAGAGTAATAGATTGGATGAAAGTTGCCCATTTCAGATAAATACCATCAGTGAGATAGTAAACCAAATTATACTCCCTTCCTTGGACAGAGAAATTAACTGCTGGAGCTCGACCGTGTATTATATCATCAAACACGGGTGAGCGATCTAGAACATTTATATCGTTTAGAGTACCTGGAGGCCCGAAAAACGCATGCCATATCCACAGATCATATGACGCTACTGCCTCTAAAACGATTGTGGGTTTTCCGGAACCACGTGAATACTGTCCTTTCCAAGCAGTAGGGCAATTCTTCCACTCCCAATGCATACAGTCGATGCTCCCGATCATTCCAGGAAATCCGCGTTCCTCTCCCCAGTAAAGTAAGCGTTGAAGATCCTCCAGTGTAGGTCTTCTTAAGTACTCTTCACCGAACAAATTTATTATTCCGTCGACAAAATGTTCCAAACATTTACGACTAGTAGTTTCACCTAGCCAAAGATATTCATTGACCGCATCAGCAGCACTGCCATATGCCAAGATACGGTTGGCTGCGGTACATTTTTGAAGTGCAGAGAGACCATGATACGATCCAAAGTGATCTACTCTGAAGAATAAAGGTTACAAGTGCGAAGATGGGTTGATGATGTCGTGATAGGGCTATGGAGATCGGATCGATGGTGACGATGGTGGCTTGGTGGATTGCTGGTGATGATGATGGCTCGATGAGGATGATGGAGACTCGGCGGATCGATGAAGTGAGATGATGGTTTGGTTTCTCGAATCGATGGGGTGGTGGTGGTAGTGTGATAATCGAATTGATGATGATGGATAAATAGAAGAATCTCTTGTAAACAGATTAGTTTTTAAGAGATTCGAATTTCAGAGTTTTCTTATACTTAAAAATCAAAGAGAGAAGAACACGTTAAAAGTTTGATCAAAATTCTTCACTGAATAACACTTAAGGCGATTTTCTCTAATATATAGAGTTAGAGAGAAAATCACAGCCCTAATAACAAAACTACATGATGTTTAAAATAAAACAACAAGAAGTTTAATTTAAAAATAAAACAGCGAGGCGTCCCTTCTAAACCTAAGTGGTGCGCCTAAGACACTAGTGCACAAGTCATTGTGACTTTGCACATTATTACCCATTAGTAACAACTTCTAAGTAACTCGACGTAGCAATGATTTCTGCCTCGTTAAAAACCTTGGAGAAGAACCTCCTTGCCTTCCAAAATCTTCACCAAGGAAAAGAGTACAGAATCATCACCTAAGTTACCTAGTCATTATTACTGGATTCTTCATTCTTCAAGATAGAGATGTTGAAGATATGAGCTCCAGCCTCCTGGTGATCGCTGTCCTCTGTGGCAATGAGTGCGTGAGCCTCCTTAGCCATCTCTCTAGCTCTGGAACGAGTGATCCTGCCAGCTATCTCTGGTTCCTCCTCCTCTGAGCTTGTCACGATCATATCATCCTCTCCCTCTTGAAAAGGATTTGTCCTCAAATCTGAATCTGCAACAAAAGGAAGCAAGTCAGAAACATTGAAAGTATCAGAAATGTCATACTTACCTTGAAGATCAATCTGATAGGCGTTGTTGTTGAACCTTTTGACGACTGCGAATGGTCCATCAACTCTGGGCATTAGCTTGTTCTTTCGTTCAGCTGGAAATCGCTCCTTCCTCAGATGGATCCACACCAGATCTCCTTCTTCGAAAATCAGCTCCTTTCGTTCATTGTTGGCATGCGTCTCATACTGCTTTGTCCTCTTCTTGATGTTCTCCTTAGCTTTAGCATGTATTCTTCAGACCTGTTCAGCTTTCTCCTTGCCATTCAAACTGCATTTTCCACTTAAAGGCAAAGGGACCAAGTCTAGAGGTGATTGTGGATTAAACCCATATACAATTTCAAAAGGAGAA